TAGTTTTATTTTGTTTGAGTGTATGTAAAACAGAGAATGTGAACATTTCCAGAGTGTGGCTAATGACTCCGGTAAATCTGACTATAACAGCTTAACTAAAAGGAGAGAACCAAAAGGGCACACAGACACGGGAGCACCCTGAAACAATCTGGCATCCCTCCACTCCACCGTCCACAAACCTGAGTGATCGCGTGCGAGCGGCGGGACAACAGCACCAGCGTCTCAGTTTACTATAATTCCCTGCGTCCATGGACCCCTGGATCTGCTGCCTTTATCTAAGGGGGAACATTAACTACCAAAAGCTAAACTAAACAAGTGAGTTTTCAGCCTAGATTTGAAGATTGCGACTGAGTCTGAGTCCCGAACATTTTCTGGAAGATCATTCCAGAGTTTGGGGGCTTTATAAAAAAAGGCTCTTCCCCCAGCTGAAACCTTCTGAATTTTGGGAACTGTTAAAAAGCCAGCACTCTGTGATCTGAGTAATCGTGGTGGCTCATAATGGGAAATAAGGTCTTGCAGGTACTCAGGAGCGAGCCCACATAGGGCTTTATACGTCAATAAAAGAATTTTGTAATCGATACGGAATTTAACAGGCAGCCAGTGAAGTGATGATAGAACTGGACTGATATGATCAAATTTTCTGGTTTTAGTGAGAACCCTGGCTGCAGCATTTTGAACTAGTTGAAGTTTACTTAAATTCCTGCTGGTGCATCCTGACAGTAGTGCGTTACAATAGTCTAGCCTTGAAGTAATAAAGGCATGTACTAATGTTTCTGCATCATGCAGCGATAAGGCATTTCTTATTTTGGCAATGTTGCGAAGATGATTTAGAGCCAGTTATTAATTTCAAATGACATCAATTTTGTATGTGGTGTTGTAAAGGTCATACTGTTAGGATAGAACAAGTGGAGTTTTCACTTCAAGTTCACATGCTTCAAATGTTTTAGCTGTGCTAGCTAGCTAAGTTAGCGGTGTAGCATGATAATAGCCCAAATCAAGTTAGTCTTTCAAGTTAGTGGCCCACCTCGAGGGTACAGCACAATGTTTCTCAGAGGAAAGAAATACTCTAAATGTGATCTCCTCCTAATCTCATGTACGGGAGAAGGCGGCACAACAGGCCAGGGGGTAAAATGAGCTGCTCTCTGTATTTAAGCAACATACACAGAAATAAGCATGTGATCACAGATTGATTCTGACAGAGATGAGCATATGAGGAGAGTAGTGAGCTAACCAGAGCTTTTTCTCAAATTGGGGCATGTGGGCTAAATTGTGCCACTAGTCTTGGGCCAAGCTGAGCCTATGGCTGAACTTACCCCAGTTACCATAAATTGTATATTCACTTAAATATAATTAGGTAAAATACTGTAGCATTCCTGCTACTATGAAGGAAGGGAGGAATGAGAAAACAACTGTCTACAAGTTTAGCACTTTATTTGGGTTGTATTTGTCCACAGCTTGCCTCACATTTGGTGGAGTGCTAATAGCTAGCTCTACATAGGGACTAGCCCCCACAACAAAAGGGGAAAGAGACCTTGGTGCATACTTTCTCTCTCTCTCTCTCTTTGATCTGTTCTACACAGTCATTTAACCTGTAAAGTGTAACTGCCTGTGTGACTGTAAGCATCTGGTGTAGGAAGTGTTTTACAGTGTATGGGGTCACAGCAGGGGTCATTCGGCATTCAGCAGGTAACTAGGGTCACACAGAGGTGAGTGTGGGACAGTGTGTTTCTTCAAGTGTGTTCATTCAATTCAGTTCATTTTTATTAGCATAGAGCTTTCTGAGGCATCCACTGACAGTATAAAAACATGCGGAGGAACCACTGAGAGGAGCGAAGACTCAAGAGGAGAAACTCTCTAAGAACATGAGTAGGAACCACTGAGAGGAACAAAGACCCAAAAGGAGAAGCTCTCTAAGAACATGAGGAGGAACCACTGAGTGGAACCAGGACTCAAAAGGAGAAACTCTCTAGGAACATGAGGAAGAACCACTGAGAGAACCAAGACTCAGGAGGAGAAGCTCTCTAAGAACATGAGGAGGAACCACTGAGAGGAACGAAGGCTCAAAAGGAGAAACTGTCTAAGAACATTAGGAGGAACCACTGAGAGGAACCAAGACTGAAAAGGAGAAACTTTCTAAGAACATTAAGAAGATTTGCTGATCAAATATGTTTGGGTTGAGGGGGGAAAAATTTGTACTTGTTTTTTTTTTCTGAACACACATTAGTTTGCTGAACTGTCGCTGTACTGAGTTGGTGTTTCGGAGGTTGTTTGAGAATGAGAGAGTTCTCTGGACGGTCCGGCTCCACCCGCCGTGTTTGAAGTGCAGGACCCAGGTGTGTCCAACTGTAAATTGTGCAGCTAAATACAAACACGAAAAGTGAAGGAAAGCCGGACCCTGAGATTAGAGATTAGAACGTACCAATGCAGAGCCTTCTGCTTAACTCTGACTGCACATCACCACGCTAGATTTACTGCACGCACACACACACACGTACACACACACACACACACACTGCAGCCAGAACACAGACAGGCTTTGATGTTCACACTCACACAGATGCTGAAGGAGCTGCAGGGCGACTTTCCCTATTATCTAAATCTTATGATTAAGAAAAAAAGCTGAAAAATTAACACCACGCTTAAAAACTTCATAACATAATTATTTTTAACACCATTTGAAAACTCCAGCTGCTGTTTACACTATATGTACATTTTATGATGAATGGACCTGTAGGTATATAAAACAGAACCATTCAATAAAGAGCAATAAATCAAAGCAAGCAACCTCTTCTTGGAATTTGGCAATGATGTTTTCGGTGAGGTGAGCTACTGTGTTTTCTTATCACTGTGTAAAAGATGCACGAGGCTTCATTTATTGCTGAATTGCTCAGAGCTGTTTGGGTCAGTAAGTGTTCATAACAATTCGTTAAATTGTTAAAGAGTAGTAATAAAAAATGTCTAATGCATTAATTAGATTGATATTCAAGTGTTTACTTGTCCAAAACAATAACTTGTGAGACAAACTGCATACATTGTCTGTTCATGCTCACAGATGTCATGAACGTACATGAGGCCCCGTTTTAAACTCCCATAACTTTAAGAGTTCAAAAGCTCTTAAAAATGTAACAGCGGTGTTAAAATGTTTTATGCTGTTCTTTGTTCAGGAAATGAATGCATTCTTTTATATTGAAAATGTTTAAGCATTTATAAACTATGACTTTGCGCAAATGCTCCTTATGTATGTATTTAGGTAAAAATAAAATAATCCTCCTTTACAGTAAAATAAAGCTCTGCTGATCGTTCAACACAGTTTAACAATAAATGGTCTTAAATGCTGGAGTTAATGTAGAACTGCTAATTCACTCTTTAACCCTGAAGATCAGCACAGACTGCTGGTCACCATAGCAACACAGACAACAAAAGCAACAAAAAATCTCTCCAAGCTAGTAGCTAATGAAATGCCAAAGAGAAAGATTTAAGAGGAACATGGATAATTTGGGGACAAAGGGACTTATTTGCGTTTATAGTCACTCCTGATATGTTTAATCTGCAACAAGAAACTGACAAACATTAAAAAGTTGTGAAGCTGAAGTCAGCTTCTCATTTGCCAGCTTCTTTTTCGAATTTTCTCGTTCCACCTTAAATGATGCAGCAGTTACATTCTGGCGCCTCAGGCAGCATTTAAGGTGGAACGGGAAAATTAAAACAAGAAGCTGGCAATTGAGAAGCTGACTTCAGCCTCATAAAAAGTTGAACGCTGAGAGACATTTTACGAGAAACTGTTCTACTTTTGAGGAAAAGTTTCCTGCCGGAGATGCGAGAAAAGCGGCCATAGTTGAGCTAAAAGCATAAAGCAGAGCAAAGTTAGTCTGCGTTTTTGTTTATATTTTTTAGCATACACTAGCACATTAACATACTGAGACAGATTTACAGCCAAGATGGTAAAGAGACATAAAGTGTTGTGGCTCCCAAGGTAGTTTGATTTTTATTGAAAGGGCAAAATGGCTTGTCTTAACATTTGGGTTGTGACCCCTGACCTAGTGCTGACTGCATGTCTAAATCATCAGGTGCATGTCTCACACTGTGTGGAGATGTTCAGTATCTCTAGTAAACCTGATTAATTTGAATTAATTAACAGAAACCACATAATCAGGTCTGTGTAATAAGGTGAAGGTAAAGGAGCTCCGTCTGCCTATGGTTCACCATCTACATCAGAACCCTCATCACTGTCACTGTGCTTAAAATCTTAAAATTTCTCTCCTTTTCTCTCTTTCTCTCATTTTCCCATCGCTATCTACATCTACTGCACCCCTTTCTCTGTCCTGCCCACTTTCTCTCCCTGTCTCCTCTCCTCTTTACCCTTTTTCCCTCCTTCATCTCTCCTCTCTTGCTTTCTCTCTCCATCTGTCCATCTTTCCCCTTTCTCTTTTCTTTCTCTCTGCCCATCTGTCTCTCCCTTTTCACCTTCTCCCCCTTTTCTCATCCTCTTTCCCTCTCTCACCTATTCTCTCTCCTTTTTCTCTGCTCCGTTTCTTTCTCTCTGTCTTCTCTCTCTATGTTCTCTATCGCTCTCTGTTCTCTCTCTATATATATATCTCTCTTTGTTCTCTCTACCTTTCGATGTTCTCGATGTTCTCAACCTTTCTCTGTTCTTTCTCTCTGTTCTCTTGCTCTCTATATTCTCTATCTCTCTATTCTCTCTTCTTTGTTCTTTCTCTGTGCTCTCTATCTCTTTGTTTTCTCCCTCTCTCTGTTCTCCCCGTTTATCTCCCTCTCTGTTCTCTCCCTTCCTCAGTGTTCTCTATCTGTGCTCTCGCTCTCCCTTTCTCTCTCTGTCTCTCTGTTTTCTCTCTCTCTCTCTCTCTCTCTCTCTCTCTCTCTCTCTTGCTCTCTCTCTCTCTGCTCTGACTGGTTGGAGTGTAATTGCAGCAGTGTGAGGTCAGCAGCAGTGTGTTTATCAGAGTTTGTCTCAGCGCTCTCAGACAGAGAAGATGCACAGAGTGAACAGTCTGCAGCACACACTCGCGCATTCACACACTTACACTCGCGCACTCACACGGAGCAACCTGCACATGCAACTCACAGACACTTGTAATTCACATGGAGGAGGAACACCGTCATTTACAGCCGCGGAGCACAAGTGAGTTACTCTGAGTGCGTTTACTAATGCCTGTGTTTCTGTGTGTTCTGTGTGGAGAGAGAGAGGACAGAGAGAAAGGAGAAAAGAGGGATGAGAAAAAGAAGTAGAGAGACAGAAAGAGACAGAGAGAGAAAGGAGAGGAAAAGAGAAACAGATGGAAGGAGATGGGAGAGGGGTGAAAGAGAGGAGAAGAAAAAAGAGGGAAAGAGAGGGGAGACAGAGAGATTGAAGGAGAAAGAGAGATATAAAGAGAATAAGAGATGGGGTGAGAGGAATAGCGAGAGTGTTGTGATTTAATGTGTCCTCAGTTGACTCTGAGGCTGAAGCTCTCAGGCTGGAAATGAAACCTAAGCAGGTGAAATAACTCTATTGCCTTTCACTGTCAGATGCTTTAATGATATTACAAGATTATTAAATGTAATTTCAGACATTTTGTACTCATTTGAAGTACATTTTTTCTGCTGTCAGATCTTAATGATAACTTTTTTCAGCTCAAATATCCGGCTAATCAATTAAATTAATTTTAATTAGCATCATTAGTAGAGGTGATTCTCTAAATTCGCGGTTCAGTTCAGACCTCGGTTTCTTCTGTTTTGTGTTTTTGGTGTGGGTGGGAGGGGAGTGAATAAGAAAAAAGTTTTATTAAATCACCAACAATTTGGAACACAGGAGATTAACTGAACTTCACCTAAATAACTATGTAAACATAACTAACTAACTAACTAAATAAATAAATAAATACAAATTCTATTAAGACCAAGGCAACCAAGGGACAACATCTTAAATCTATTTCTAATATTTAATCTAATATTTCTCATTTTGAGATACTTGTATGAGTATTATAAGATTATTTAACTTATTTATAGGTGTTTTTACTTGTTTTGAGTAATGTTATCGAGTAAAATGATATCACTATATTGGCAGATAATATGGCTTGTTTCAAGAACATTTCTTAAAATGATCTGACATATAATGAGATCATTTTACTTACTAAAATCACTCAAACCCAGTAAAAATGTCTAGAAAGTTTAATAGTCTCATTACAAGCTTACAATAATATCAATATGAGGAATATTAGATGTATCGAGTAGATTTAAGATAATCTCTGTTGGCAAGATGGCATTTTTTGCAGTGCAGCTTGCGCTAAATGTAAATAGAGCACAAATTTTGTGATTTATGTGTTATATTGGGTTAATTGTGAAATGAAAAATGAGTTTTGTTTTGTTAATGATGTAATGACAGCTCAACAGGCTGCAATAGCAGCTGTGGCAGTGGGTTGGGGTTGAGGGGAAGTACTGCAGTTCTGTCTTGCGGAGCCGCGACACAAGACCGTGGACGTTTGTATCGCGGTTTCGTTCTTGGTTTCAGCATCGTTACATGCCTAATCATTAGCTCGACAAATCACCATGCATTTGTATTGTCAAGCTGGAACTACACTCTTAAAAAAGATGGTTCTTCAAACATTCTTTAGTAAAGACAGTGGTTCTATATAGCACCAAAAAGGGTTCTGCCATTCTTACAATGTCAAGGTTGTAACAGTAGAAGAACCCTTTTTTGGTATATAAAACTATTTTCTTTACTAAAGAACGCTTGAAGAATTATCTTTTTAAGTGTGTAAAATGTTTGACCTTATTGGTGGACCTTATTAGTGAATAAGACACAATAACATTTAATATGTTATAAAGATATTAGATAAATATTAGATATATTAGATGAAGCTGACTTGTGAAATAACAAATTTATATATCACTGCTGTCGGAAAAAAGGAATGACTTCACAAGAGAGTGAAATAATATACATTACTTCTAATGTATGTCACTGGAACCAGACATTTTTCCAAGTCATTTTGGTCTGTTCTTCATAAAATTTACAGACAGTGTAAAGGGCAGCAGGCATTTTCAAATTATGTTAAAAAATGAAGAAGAATGTTCAGACAGCAGTGATATCCATCTCACAGCACCCCTTTTCTGAAACATTCTTTTATCTAAGCACCATTTCAACGGTGTGGCCAATAAAGTTTACATGCAGAGATTCACACTACAAGTAATCAGATCCAAAATTATGTGCATGTGTAAAGAACCAATTAGTGTAGACATTAGCATGGCAACCAGCATCATGTGAATCCAGTCAGTGAGTGAGATGAGCAGCAGTGAGTTGCTGAGTTTTCAGTTTCTGTGTTTAATTTGTTCTGTAGTTCATCTCGTTGATGTGCTCATATTCTCGTCAGGTCATCTTGTTATTGTGAGCTTTACGGTCCATCCTGCTGAAGAGTTTTACGCGTGTCATAACAGAATGTACTCAAACTTTTTGACTGGGAATGTAATCAGATGCAGGCATTTACACACGTATTATATCTTTTTAACGGATTATTTACAGGATTACCCACCTCATTCAATCAGACAGAATCTGTATTCAGAACAGCCTTGATTGGACTAGCCTATTCCGACTGAGGTGTATACATGGAGGTATTCTATTCCGATCGAGCTATTAGATTATTAACAGATCATCAGGCTGTTATCTAGATATGAGATGTGACTGCTAAATTAAGTGTGAATTCTAATTTAAATGTCTGTCTTCACCTGTAGCCCCAAAGTCCCTGAATACTTCTGACCACACTGTTTAACGTGGAGGTCGAAGATCAAGGCCGACGCCCTGCGTGAGGATTTACAGAGCTCGTCAGAGCGTATTTGGACCCCCGGAGCGTGTCTGGACCCCCAGGCAGCTTTAGGACTTCCTGTCTCTCAGTATGGTGCCCGTGGCTCCCCCTAGCAGTGCCTTATGATGCACAGATGGATTGTGGGCAGGAAAAGGCCAGACCTGCTGCTGTTGGGACTCTGCATCAGAGTGCTGCTGTGGATTTGTGGGCTGGACGTGACTTTAGCTGACCACTCGGCTCTGTGCAACTGCTCCAAGCACGAGCGCTACACGCGCAACTACGACTACATGGAGGGGGGCGATGTGCGGACCCGCCGGCTCTACAGCCGCACGCAGTGGTTCCTCACTATAGACGAGTACGGCAACATCAACGGCACGCAGGACCCCAACAACTGCTACAGTGAGCACCGCACACACGCAGAGCCTCACAGCTGAGACTACACACTCAGAGCTGAGACTGTACTACACACTTTAAACTCTGATTTGTCCTGTTTAACACATTTGCAATCTAGACGAGTTTTGCAGGTCAGGAGATCAGATGACATTTTCACACGTTTGACTTTTACGACTCAAAATGTTCATGTTCAGTGAGACGGTCAGTGATGTCACTGAACAAGTGATTCAAGCAACAGCCAATCAGAGAGCTTGGACAGAGAAAAAAATGTGAACTCAAGCTGCTTGTTGAGTTCAGCGTTAATAGTCTCTCTTAACCGTTTCAACTCACCAGACAGTTCATAGTACAATATTCTCCAGCTCTGACTGTGAGATCTGAGTTTAAACCTCAGGTTCATCCTCAGTTTGTGTTCACTGCACTTCTTGTGCACACATAAAAGCACAAACAGCTCTGGTCTAGTTTAGCTAGTTTTTATCTCTTGAACGACCTGGGAGTTTGGGTGCTTTTCGTAGCCGTAACTTGTTATGTGCTGCACTCTTGTCGTCTAGTGTGCACATTCTCACAAAAAAATAACAGGAATTTATTTTTCAAGATGGATGATAAGTGTGTGATGCTCGCTCTTTTCGGAATCTGTTATTTTAAAGTCATCTAGTGTAGGCCTTAAGACTTAAAGTAAGCGTTCCCCCAGTTTCCCCAGTTACCACAAATTTGGTTAAACAATCAAAGCATGTTGGGTGTCTGCAGTTTAGCACTGAAGCTAATGTAGCTATTGTAGCTAACAATGGAAGATTATACCCCACCATTTAGCAGAGTGTTAATTACATGCTAATTTCCACCCACTTTAATCCTGGTTTTAACATGCCTTTGTCCACTTGGTGTCACCATTTGGCCTTTCCATTACTGTATTAGCCCAAGTGAATTTTATTAGACAAGACATTTGACGGATGAGGGATAAAGTGACCAAACGAGGGACCAATCGTGTCGACTACAGCAGCAGAGCTGGCCCAGAAATCATTCCCATCTGACACATTTCCCTTTTTAACCTCTAAAAATGTCAAAGTTACAAACTACTTTAAAATGCTTATCATTTCAAAGCCATAGCATTCGATTTGCTGTGCTTTAAGGTGCAAACTGCTTAGTTTGTTATACAAGACTAGTGAACTTCATCACTTTCCTCTGCTAGTTTTCTAGTTAGCATGCTTAAAGCTTCACAGCTAACAAGAACAAAAGTAAAGGTGATACACCAAAGCTAACAACCAAAGATATGATTCACAACTTTTACGTATGTTATATTCTCAAGAAACAGTTTTCATTGCAAAGTTTGCATGGCTAGCTGATTAGCTTATACTAATAGTTCCTCTAAAATCTTATTCACTGCACCTTTAACTCCTTGTAATCTCAGGCTTATTACATACTGAGGCGTATTATTCAGCAACTACGGAAACTTGTAAACTAGCTGAGTTATTCTTAAGTTATAGAATTTATAGAAGGGCCTGCTGGTGGGCCCTGGCTCTTTAAGGGGTTAACTACCAGCGATTACAAAATCCAGGACCAGAAACTGAAGTGAAGGTCCAGGGTTGAAGGTTCTTCAAATTATTATTATAATTATTATTATTACAACTCTGTGGTTCCAGCACTGTGTTCAGGGATCATAAGGATTTGTTTGGATTTGTTGTTGCCTGCTTGCAAAGATCCGATCCGCACAGCTTCATCTCCAGATTGTCGGAGCTCATCAGGAGATCCGTCTTCAGCTGGGTTAGTGTGTCGGCCGTGTTAGTGCGCCGCTTTCGGAGAAACGGCAAGAGGGTCACGGGTCTGCGTGTGGAGGGCGAAATGACAACGCTAAAGCGAAACAGGTGCTGCGCTTGGATAAACGTTTCTCAACAGCCGCGAGAGAAAGAATCTTAATGATGGAAACAAATGGCCTGTGTTTTCCACATCTGTCAGAGAGAGAGAGACAGAGAGCGACTAACACGCTGCAGCCCCACACACACACACACACACACACACACACACACACACCTGACAGCCCAGCTCTGGAACAGGAGATACGACCTGCACCGCAAGCATAACACAGAGCAAACAGTCAACACACAGTAAAGAAACACTGTGTATGTGAGTGTGTGTGTGTGTGTGTGTTTGTGTGTGTATTATAAAGAGAATGAGACTTCCTAAAGCAAATAATTTCTGATTTGCAGCACATGTCAGCATAACTAATTTTATAGCCTACCATAGAATTTGGCAGATATTTTATTTATTTCTCAAGATGCTATAAACATAAATATAATCATAAATACACTACCAGCGAACATTTTGGGGTTCACTGATTTCATTCATATAAACCAGTTTCTATAAAGATTTGTTTATAAAATGATTCTACAATGAAACTAATTCCTTACGAGTTTCAGTCAGTTTGTATGAAGCTGTAAAAAATGTAGATGTTCTGGATGATAAAAAGAGCTGTAAGTGATTTCGTGATGATTGAAAAATACAGTATTGAGAATCAACTGATAAACAAAATGACACCCACAATGACTCATATTTGAAAACCCATAACCAAGTCTCACCAATTAAACAGATTTAGAGAGTGTGTTTGTGACAACATACTTCAAAAAAGCAGAAAATAAGAAGCTTATTACTTCACACTATAACTTTATGCTGTTCCAAAAATACTGTAAACTGTGTAAACTGTAAATAATGTATTTTTCTGTCTAGCATTTCAGTCTACACTGTATGAGTTTATTACTAAATAACAGTTATTATTATGACAGGTGACCCCAAACTTTTGAGCGGTAGTGTATAACACAAAAATAAAGTGAGATAAAGATGTAGCTATATTTATGACTACGGTTATTATTATATTCAAATGCAAAGCATCTTGAGAGATAAATAAATGTGTAGTAAGAGAGGATGAGAGATGTGCTGCAAAGTGAGACACAGTGAGATAGTGATGCAACTATATTTATTACTACATTTATTAATATATTTATAATATCTTGTACAGCGTGACATACAATAAACAAGTAAGACGGCTGTTATTTCAGTTTACAGCAGAGACAGTGATGCATCCCTGAGATAGTGATGTAATATGAGATGGTGAAATAGACCAAGATAGTGCTGTTAAGTGAGATAGTGAGATAGAGTGATGATCTAAAATCTCATGCTTAATTGCACTGTGTACCCTAAACATACACAAACACAAAAGTTCTTTACTGTCTATTGACTGTATGCACTGCGTTGTGTGAGGATGATTGCGTAATATATGCAATGTAATGTATCTAGTTACTCATGATAGTCCAATGCTAATGTTAGCACTAAACTGAAATATTTGGCAGCTTATTGTTTGAATTTTCCTGCTCCACCTTAAATGGGTCAGCAGTTATTATTGTAACGTCTGAGGCACCAGAATGAAACTGCTGCACTATTTAAGGTGGAAACTCAGACAAGAAGCTAGCGAACAGGAAGTCAATTTTAGCCTAGTAATGTTAGCTAAGCTGTAGGTGTGCGCTAGCTGTGTTTATCTTGTATGTAATGTGTGCGTGTTTGTTCAGTGACGTCTGCATTGTAGTTTTGGGTGAGTGTTGTTTGATGGTATTTGTCTTAAGTTAATCTATATTGGCTTTATTGGCTCCAGCACTCTCTGTGTGATAGTCAGTGTGTTCATGTGTTTTCAGGGGGGCTTTGGAAGGAGGGCGGAAAGTGGGGTGGAATTTTTTCGGTTGGATTTTTCAAAAACCAGCTTACACTTCCTGGTTTGCACAAAATCCACTACTCTAGCTATAATCGTACTGCGTACGCTAAACGTACACAAACACAGAGGTTCTTTACTATCTATTAACTGTATGCACTGTGTTGTACTTTGTGTGTGTGTGTGTGTGTGTGTGTGTGTGTGTGCGTGTGTGTGTGTGTGTGTGTGTGTGTTTCCTAGCGTGACAGGCAGCGAGTGTCTTTAGACAAGAGGGAAAAGATGATTGCGTAATGATTGGCGTTGAAAAGCAGAAAAATTGATACACCCAGATGTGCCTGCTGACTGCCCACAGAGAACACACGCACACACACATATGCACACACACAGGAACATTTAGGCCAACCAGCCCAGTGCACGCACATATCTAATAAATCATCCAGTCACATTTAACGGTTGAGGGGTTCAACCGGCCCGAGGAGGTCACTGCAAACACACACACACACACACACACACACACACACACACACACACGAGAGAGAGAGCGATTTAAAAGCAGTCAGTAAACTGACAAGATGTATTAATGAGGATCAGCTAATTAGAATTGTTCCCATTCTTCCTTATTACTCTGTTATTGTTCATATTTACAACCATGTTGGCAGTTTATTAACTCAAACCACAGTTGGGCTGCACAAGAGTGTGTTATTGTAATCATTTCCATCAAAATAATCTTTTCTGACTGTACGATGGGGATCGCCAATACTTCTAGAATGCTGAGATTTAGAGCAATTACAGAGAGTCTGTAACAACAACAACCAGTGCTGCATAGTAACGAGTAAGTAAGTGAGTTTTATTAATAAAGCACTCTTAAAACAACTTGCGATGACCAAAGTGCTGCACATCAAATCAGCAAACACATAAACAGCACAACAAGTAGGAAAATAGAACAAAAATAATAAGATGAGTTACATAAAATGAATCACTATTAAAATAAAGTTAAAAAAAATAAAGTTTTTACACTTTTATTACATAATGAGCCCATATAGGAACAGCCAGCAGGTTCTGCGAGGATGATCTCAAAGCTGTATGGTAGAGGGAGTGAGCATACTGCCGACATACGAGGGAGCCTGACCATTAAGTGCTTTAAAATAAAACAAATAAAAGCACTTTAAACTGTACTCCTGAACTGGACAGGTAGCCACTGAAGTGAAGCGAGGACTGGAGTGATATGGTGTCTTTTCTTGGTACTAGTCAGTAACCTAGCTGCTGCATTTTGGACTAACTGTAAGCGTTGCAATAGAGACTGGTTAATCCCAATATA